CGACGACGAATGTGTCGAGACTTACCGTTATACATATGACTCTGTGCTCTACCAATTGCCGATTGACTATCACAATGTATAGTGAGAAAGCGAGAGAGAAGTGAGAGAGACAACAAGGATACATCAATTTGACAAATTCTATTACTTTAACTCTCACTATATTCCTCTTATCAAAGAACTAAACAAAATATTATAAGTAATATATAACTTCGAGTATCCGATACTTCAAAATTAAGTATCCGATACTTCAAAATTAATAAAAAATTAATTAAGAAGTATCTGATACTTTTAAGAAGTATCCGATACGTATCCGCGAGTATCCGAGGAGTATCGGTATCCGATAAGTATCCGATACGGATACGTCACCCTTTTTGAAGTATCCGTGCTTCATAGGTGAAGTCTGATGGAGGGGACAGGTATGGGAGACACAGAGTTGTGCCTTGCAAGTAGTGGGGCAGTGCCTTGGGAGTTGAGGAGTGTGCTTATGGGTGCCTGTTAGTGTCTATGGTTTTGATTTTGGAGGTTCAAGTTTTTTGGTTTTTTTAGTTATGTCCTTAATTTTTTTGTTTATTGTTTTGGTCTTGTTTTGTTTTCTTTTGTTCAAAAAAAATAAAAAAATAAAAAATAAAAATTGTAGGTTGAGGGGTTAGTTATATGTTTGTAAGTAGCAGTAGTAGGGGTATTTTGTACTGTTTGAATCTCTTTCGATGCATTGCATATTTCTATACCTATAATTTCATATTTTTAATGAAATTTTCACTTTGCTAATCAAAAAACATAATAGTAACGCATCGTTACTCAAAGACTAAACTATCCATAGATTAAGAAATAAATAAACAGAAAATAATACGCAAAACAAAGCTCTCTCGGTAGATATAGTTATGTTGAATTATGACACTAAATTAATTATATAAAAAAAAGGGTGTCTTGAAGCTCCCTGAAGACTAATAAGTTGAGTAGAATGAATCGTCCAAAGCAATTGAAGAACTCTAATATATATATATATATATATTTAATTTACTTTTCTTTATATTGAAACAATAATGTCAATATATATACCGTTCTATGCACGGACATAAATAAATAAATAAAATTAAATAATATAAAATTGATTTAAAATATATAAAAATAATAATTCAGAATCAATTAAGTTTTAACCTTTTAAAATTAGTTTTTTTTTTTACTTTAATTGTGTATTCTAAGTTCTTAGAAATAAAAAATGCATATCATCATTTAATTGACAAAAAAAAAGAAAAGATAAATTACAAAAATTACATTTATGATAAAAAAATTAATAAATTACATTATGTGAGTTTTGTAATTTTAATTTATTCTATGTCAAAGTTCTCCCAATAATAAGGTAAATTACATTCAACGTAGTAATTATTCTTTATCTATTTTGTAAAATCTAAAAATTTGCTTATATTTAAAAATTATAATTTGTCTTAACTCTCATATTAAAATGGAAAATAGCCAGTTTTTGGAGCCAGGGTATTAAAATGGAAAATAGCCAGTTTTTGGAGCCAGGGTATTAAAATGGAAAATAGCCAGTTTTTGGAGCCAGGGTATTAAAATGGAAAATAGCCAGTTTTTGGAGCCAGGGTATTAAAATGGAAAATAGCCAGTTTTTGGAGCCAGGGTATTAAAATGGAAAATAGCCAGTTTTTGGAGCCAGGGTTGGGGTAGACGTTAAAAGTAACTTAGAAGCTGTTTCTGCACCGTCAATTCATATATAGGTTGTAGTTAGTGAGTGACTATTTGATCATATGAGACTAATGCTTCACATCATTCAACATATAATATTTATCATGTTAATTTTTATAAATCAAATAAAAAGTATTAAGTCATATCATATTGACCAATAAAAATTAACGTGCCACTAAATATCATTTTTTGTAGCATTTTCTAAAAATATGCCACTAGTGTAGTGCCACTAAAGTATGTTTTTGTTGTAGTGTTCCTCTGTTCAAGATCTCTCTATCTCTCTCATTCCACCTTCTCCTCTGTTCAAGATTTGTGTTGGATTTTTTTTTTCAGATTGCCTTGCCGGTCGACCGGTTGGACGTCTAGCCGGTCGTCTCCCCGGTCAATCGGCATTTTGTTGAAAGTCAAAAATACACAGTTGGAACGTTGGATATCAAATAGAGAAATTTCTTAAATTTTTACTCAGATTTGGTGAAATATTTGATTCACCGTTGGAGATTCTCTAACAACTCACTACAAAAATTTAAAATTTTTAGAGACCAAAATTTAGAGATAAAATTATTTTTTAAGAACTAATTATTTTTCTTGCGAAAAGTGTCGTCATTATATTTTTAGCAATGAAAGTTAGACATTAATGATGAATTATTATCCTTTTGGGATCAAATTTTTTGTCTCAAAAAATAAATCATTTTGAGACCAAATTATTTTTCCCTAAAAGTCTATTTATTAGTGACATTTTTAAAATTTTGTTGCTAAATATCTTATTTTTGACTTTTCAAGACAACCTTTTAGCGACTATACTCATGACAATGAAAATTAGTTCCTAAATGTCTTTTGCAACAAAATTTTCAATTTTAGAAACCAAAATATTTAGTTTCTAAAACTCTTATATGTTGTAGTACAAGATGGCTAATTAATTTTCTACAGTTAGAAAGGGATGCACTAGAATTGTTGAATTGGGAGGACAATGAATGAATGAAAGAGATTTTGGAAGGACCACGTTAAGTACAAATTGATTTGGAAGAGGTAATAACTCAATACAACATGAAAATTGATTTTTAGTGACATCACTAAATCACTTTGCTACCTTCTTCGTTTTCTTTCTTTAATCTCATAGCGTGCTCTCTCTCCTCCGTGTTACATGTAATTTGCAACTTAAAACACTTTCTAACTAATTTAAACCAAATGTTAACACAAACAAAACAACATATTAAAAAAAATATTCGTAAAATTTTTAAGTCAATTTTTTATCCATGAATCAACTTTACAAATTAGGAAATGTTTGAGACTCTCAAAAATCTCTTACAATTTAACTTATAATGATGTAATCTGACAAGTGTTAGTTTTTGATTGGTCATACACTTAATTATATGGAACCCAACCCACCATCTTTGCTATATCATTGTGGATGTATTTGTAAGTGCAAAATATAGACCTCTAGCATTGTTGTACAAATTATACACATATATACAACAATACAGAAATGTAATGTATATATCACGGCAAATAAGCATACACCAGGTCCTGAATTGTACCTGGATTTTACCCTCTAGTTATTTAAGAACAATTTACGGCTATGGCCGAGGCATACACAATGCTAGAAAATCACAAGAAAGTAAAATAAATTTTATCCTTAAATATATGTGTAGGGATTAAATGATGTGTAGAAATAAAATTACACTTATATTCCACACATTTAACACCCTCTTAGGAGTGCATACCATATGCACCCTATCACAAATTGGCATAATTTTATCATAAAATTTCGTAATATTAACTACAAAATGTGTAACATTACCACAAATTAACATAACAAAATATCTAAAATTTTATGATTGATGTTGCAAAAGTTTGTGACTTAATTACGATATTTTTTGTTGTATTGATTTGTGATAATATTATGTATTTTGTTATGATTAATA